AGGCACAGTCAGTTGTGATAAGAGCAACAGTAGGAGGAGGAGGAGGAGGAGGATGAGCCGCGGGACCGCCCCGCTCTCGGGCGGCCATAAATAGGAGGCGGCCCGTCGGAGTCGGCCGCTTTCTCGCCAAGGATGAGATCCCCCGAACGGCGGCTCGAGCCTCACTCCGGGAGCGACGCGGTGAGTCGCTTTGCGCCTTTTGCCGTCGCGTGGCGCGCAATCGGCCCGACGAGTCTCCGAGGCGTCGCGCTCTCTCTCTCTCTCTCTCTCTCTCTCGCGCGCGCGTCTTTCCGCCGGCAACTTTGCAGCGCCAAGTGCGCCTCCCTCCCTCCCTCCCGCTCACTCATTTGTCTTTTTTGCTCTTCGGTCAGCCTTTCACGACGCTGGCCTTTCTCTTCTTTCACTCGGTCTTTCTGCCTCCGCGGCCGCCCCCCCCCCTCCTCCTCTTCACTCAATCTCTCCTTCCTCTTCCCTCTTTCTTTCTTTCTTTCTCTCTCTTTCGGGCCCTCCGTCTCATTTCTCTCTTGCTCTGACAACATCCCTCCCTCCACTCCTCCCCAGCTCGCAGCTCTTTCTCCTTCCTTCCTTCCCTCCCTCCCTCTCTCCCTTTTCCTTCTCACTCACTCGCACCCACCCAGTCACTCCTCCTTTCCTTTCCTTTCCCTTCACGCACAAACGCACGCAGTCTGCCTCCATCCGCCGACTTTGAAAACATTGGTTGGAAACGCCGCGGCCGTCGGGGCATCCGCAGCTCGACTCTTTTGCCTTTCTGTGGCCACTCTCGCCCCCGAGTTCACATTGGCCTCGTCAGTCCGCCGTCCCCAAAAATGTATGGCGCCGGTTTCTCACGCCGAGCCCAAGTACGTCCGGCGGACAAAAACCTTCCGGAACCCGCGGCCGGGAATTTGGGGCGTTCCCGATTGCGTCCTCGCGCCATCATTTCCCCGAGAGTTTTGCACCGGGCGGGAATACGGAACGAGCGCCATCAACCGCGCGTGACCACGGCCCGTGCGAGGCGGGCGGGCAAAAGCGAGCCCCCCCGCGCTCGGCCAAGGCGCTCTTTGCCACGGCCGAACGGGAGTCCGGAACCCCCGACGGCCCGGAGACTTTCGGGCCGGACGAGAGAGATCCCGCAGGAAGCGCCGGGACAGTCCGCGGAAGTCGACTTCCCGGCCGGCCCCGCATCCCTTCTCGTCTTCTTTATTATTCTACAGCGCGTCACGGAAGGAAGCGCGGCGCAACGCGTGTCTGCGCTACTCCGGCCCTCACGCGACGTCGTGTGGATTCCAAGGCAGGAAACGAGCGGCGGCGACGGAGGAGCCCTGAAAAAAGGCTCTCCCGGAACCCTTCAAGGTCCGGGGGGGCACCGCCGTCATATCGCGGCTTTACGTGAGGCCGGCGCGACCCGTTTGCTCGGCGGCACCGGAACCGCCGGCGGAGTCGTGAGGCTCAAAAGGGGAAACGGGTTTCATCGTGGAACTCTTGGGCAAGGTCGCGTTTGGCAAGAACCGAAGAAGGGGGAGGCACGCGGCGAGTCGCGTCGGTGGGCCCGATTCAAACGCTGCCTTTCTTCCAGGGGGAGGAGAGCGGCCCGACGGCCCGGACTCGCCCGAAGGTGACCCGAGGCCGGATGGACGCGGAGACGCAGACGGAACCCGTCGTGGTGTTGTCCTTGGCCCAGGCCGCCGTTCTCGGACTCATTTCCCAGAATGACGTTTTCGGAGCCACCATCGCTCCCGACGGCTTTTACGCGGGAGAGCCCAAAGGGGACCCGCCCCCGCCGCCCGAAGCCGCCGAGTACGAGTATGCCGATCAGCTGATCGGGGCCAACGGGGACTACCTGCCCGAGCCCGCCGGGGACCCGGCCTCTCCGCCCGACGCCGCCGAGCGGGGACGGCCGAGTCCCGGCCGACCGAGGACCGGGAGGAGCCGCGGA